TAGAAAAGCACTGGCCCGGGGGGGGGGTTAAAATAAAGATGACCCTCGGGATGCGCGACTCCCAAGGGAAAAAGGCTAGGTGGCGAATGGTAAAACCAAGGTTGGGCCTTGCCGGAGGAGTTTTATTCAAAGCGAACTGTCAAGGGGTTCCCATTATAACCCAACCGCGTAAGGAACGCAAAATCCGGGAACATAACACCGATATGACGGAAACTAGGGCGGCAAGAGTGGAACAAAACACCAGGCATAAGGCCGAGCCTTCCACCCTTTACCAAGTATATAGATGCATTAATTAAATAAGATATATTGTGATATCCCAACAAGAAAACATGTTCCAACAAGGAACAACATCACCATGTTCCAACAAGGAACAAACTTCAATCTTCACCTGCAACTAACAATGCTATAAGAGGGGCTGAGCAAAGCGGTAACATAGCCAATCAACGGTTTGCTAGGACATGGTGGGTTAGAGGTTTGACATGGCAATTTGGGAGGCTGACAAGCAAGTGGTAGGCATCGTAGCATTGCCATAGCAAAAGAGCAAGCATCTAGCATAGCAAAGATAGTAGTGATTTCGAGGGTATGATCATCTTGCCTGAAATCCCGTAAGGAAGAAGAACGAGTCCATGAAGAAGACAAACGGACATAGTCGAACGGTTCCTCACAAACGCGACGTTATCGGAACCAACCCGAAGAAGCAACACCGGAAAAGAGCAAACAACCTAGTAAACAACCACCACAAGAACATGGCATGATGCACAATCAAGTATGATGCATGTCCAGTTTAATGAAGCATGGCATGACAATATGCACAAACAATACTACAAATTAAGTGGAGCTCAATATGCAAATATGCAACGAGTTGCATATTGACAGAGCACCATATCAATTATTTAGTTCGATCTCGTTTATGTATCCAACAATATTAAATGTTGTTAAACATGGCAAGAGAGTGAAGCAAAGCAAAACTACCTATCTAGTCAAGTTTAAATGAGGCCGGGAACAACAAACAACAAATTCCGGTAAATCCCCATATGCATATTTTAGATTAGGTCCTGTTCTGCCCTTAACCATATTTTAGAGTTGTTAGGCATGCAAAACAATGTTACCAAGATAAACTAGGCAAAATTCTACCCCATTTACATATAAAGTTTATTAAATTTGGAGCTACGGTTGAATAGTTATAAATTAAATCATTTTAGCATGGCATAGGAGCAATTTTAAACAAACATCATTTTAAACATTTCAAACATAGATGAAAGTTGGATATTATTAATCTACACAAAATTCTAAGCAAGTTTCATATATAAAATATTTTAATCCGATGCACGGTTAGTGAGTTATTAAATGCATGAACTAGGGGGACTAATCTGCAAAACTGGCAAACTCTGGATAAATGGGAAAATCCCAGGCGCTGAAAAAAAACACATGCGGGCCGAAACAGGAACTGGGCCAACAGTAGGAAGGAAAAAAAAACAGAGGCGCTGAGGAGGCCTCACCCAGTGGGCTTCGGCCCAGGTTGGAGGAGGAGGCAGGCCGAGGCGGGGGCGCTGCGCTGGGCCGGAAGGCGGGGAGGAGGACCAGCGGGCGGTCAACGGGGGCGCGCTCGTCTCCCTCAATCCCGATCGGATCGGGGAGGCAGGGGCGGCGGCGCCCGATGGCGATGACGGCGAGGGACGGCGGAGACCTGCCGGTTCCGGGCGCGGGGAGCGGAGGCCGAGGTTGCGGGACCTGTTCCCGAGGTCAGCGGGGCTCGGCGACGATGGTCGGCGCCGGCGGCGAGGATCGGGGAGGCGGCGGCGCAGTGCTCCGGCGAAGGTTGTAGGCGACGGCGGAGGCCGGCAACGAAGGAGCGGCGGAGCGCTCGGGCTCCCAGCGCGCGGCGGCGAAGAGAGGGCCCCGTGGTGGCCCGGTTCGGCCCCGGGGCGGGCCGGATCTGGGCCCCGGGAGGATGGCGGCGAAGTGGGCGCAGGGGAGGTGAGGTGGCGGCTCGGGATAGGCTGGCGGCGGCTGGATCTGGTGACATGTCGCGACCCTATTGGGCGAAGTGAGGTGGCGGAGGCAGCGGACATGTCCGCGCGCGGGAAGAAACGTCCGGCGGCGCGAGGAGCGGGGCTAGGGTTTGATCTGCGCGGAATTTCGGAGGGGATCACATATTTATAGGTAGAGGGAGCTAGGAGAGTCCAAATAAGGTGCGGTTTTCGGCCACGCGATCGTGATCGAACGACCAAGATGATGGGGTAGAGTTAGGTGAGTTTTGGGCCAAATTGGAGAGGTGTTGGGCTGCAACACACACAAGGCCTTCTCAGTCCCTCGGTTAACCGTTAGAGTATCAAACGAAGTCCAAATGATACGAAACTTGACTGGCGGTCTACCAGTAGTAAACCAAGGCCGCTTGGCAAGTCTCGGTCCAATCTGGAAATGTTTAACCCCCACACAAGAAAAAAAGATAGAAAAGACCACCAGAGGAGAACGAAGCGCCGGAATGCAAAACGGACAACGGGGAAAAAGCTCGGATGCATGAGACGAACACGTATGCAAAAGAAATGCGCATGATGACATGATATGCAATGCATGACACGCAAGCAATGACAAGGCAACAACAGCGAATAACTGCACGACACCTGGCACATCGGTCTCGAGGTGTTACACATTACCCTGTTTTCGGGTAAAGAATGGGTATCACTCATGAGATTAACATTCCATAATGTACCACCCCAAATATCATTTGAAGGTAATTGACCTTACCAAGGGTTGTAAAACTGAACAGTCTTATCCGACAAGTGTGATGTTCATGTGATGTGTGCTTATTATGTGATGGTAAGGTCACCGTGTTTGAAAGAGGTGGCCAGAACAACACATTGCACAAAACCAAACAATTATGATTTGAATCTGCTCACCCCTAAACTACATATGTAGGCGTCCAATCAATATGCAGAAAACTGCTCAGCGGTGCTATGCTGACAACCAAACTAGTTGCACAACATGGGCCAAAGGTTGTTTCTACTCAGCCAGGGCAAATCAAACAAGCCCTATAAGGGCATCGCCAACGCTAACCCGCTAATTTGCTTCGCCATCCATCCGCGGACAGAGGGTGAGGCGGTCCGTGGACATTGATGCCGAAGGCTGCCATCCAATGCTGCCAGCATACATTTCAACCACGGTTCACACTAATCAGACATAATTCAGGCAAACACCGCAAATTTTCATATAAACCGAAAGGCATTCATGCAAGCACGATGGAATTTCATTACATTTCAGACATTTAGAACAAAAAACGCTATGAAAACCTATCCTTCGGTTGTGGTTGTCGTCCACTTGCTTTGTATTCTGCATCGGCGACCACGTCCTCCATCTACCATCTCCATGAACGGCGGCGGGGTTCAAGACCCGAGAACTGGAGGTGCGGTCTCCGGCGAGGAAGAGTAGGACATGGGAGACGGGCCGACCCACTTGGGACACAATGCCCTGCCGCCTCCCATTCCCTACTCATCCTCGTAGGAGTCCATGACCTATCCGTCGCCGGCACCGGTGGACGTGAGGTCGATGATGGGCGTGGATGGTTCGTCATTCGTCCACCTGCCATGGCCGCCTCGCTTGCGTGCTCGCCGTTGATTTGGCCCTCCGCCAGTTCGAGGAGCAGGCTGTACCTTTGCTCCTCCTGTGCCTACATGCCGGAACACCAACATAGGAGCCAGTGCAGGCTGATCCTTCATCACCATGGTGGCAACGTAGTGCGCCTGCGCCTGCTCCATGGTGAGTCCGGCATGCACTGGCGCGTGGTCCAGTGCCGTATAGCCGTCAAAAACCTCAGGCGAGCTGGCCGGCATGCCCAGCTCGATCCGCCTGACATGGCGGGACTGACCAGGCGGCTGCAAGGGCGGCCACCTCGTGCTTCGTCTCCATCGATATGCTCTCCCACAGAGCATTCCCGCTCGCTATCATGATGGATGTGGTGCAAGGGAGGAGGAGTTGTGGCGTGGAGTCTAGCCGGGTGTGGCCGCCTTTAAATAGCGGATATCGGTGAGGCCAAGCGCCCGAGTGCGGTAATGTGTGGCACCGGAGTTGGTTCCTCGGTCAGGGAGCCTGCTTAATGGTGGCATACGGATGGACGCATTGAGCAGGCGTGGTAGATATTCGTCCCGTACAACATACGTGATGCATGAATGCGGGCAGCTAGCGCCGAGCAGGGACGCACGCGGGCGCGTGAGATTTGCGGGAAAAAGTGCACCCGGACCGCTCGACGGAGCAATACAGGTCCATCTTGGATGGCTTCCGCGGTCTAGACATATGCGGGCGGCTTGAGGGTCGGCATTAGAGATGCCCTAAGTAGGGTATGTATGTGAAAGGATGACATTGTCGTCCTAAGGAATTGCATTGCATCGGTCCAACGCAAAGATGATGAGATTTCAGTGAATGTGTAGTTCCCAAAAAAACACAACAAACGAATAGTATTTCTATGAAATTCATGTACTCGTTCCGCACAAACCAAATAGATCTATAGGAAACTGTGAACCGGAATCCCCATTCATATGTTTTTCCTATGATAATCCTTCAAACCATATGATTGAGGCCTCAAAATGCGATGGACATATATCCAAACGGCATGGTCATACAGGGTATTGCTTCACACCGGAAAAACGTACCAGCAAATATATATATTTCACATGTATTAGGTACTGTTTGTACACACATCACCTATTAATGTGCAAGATTGTACCAGGATATATTGCATCCTAATTTTCTTGAGATTTTTCAAAACGTTTCAAACAGCATAAAGTTGCAAGCAAACTTATATAGGGTGTACATAAACACATGGTTATCTGGATCTTTGTTGTCCAAGAAGATGCTATACAACAACATCTTGAAAACAGAACAAGATGAAATTATTACCTCTTCGGGAAGCAATACCCTACAGTGGGAGGCTCCACCATAGTGAAACCCATATTTGTCAAGGAAGTTCCAAGAGCTTTCTGTCATATGTTCCTCTGGGGGAAACATCAGTTGGAACTTGTCCAGAACGCACTTGTGTAGTAAGCATGCTGGCACAAAACTAGCAGCAACTAAGGCTGTAAAGTAGGAAGCCATTCACTGAGTGAAAACAAAAATAATGGCCCTGATGCCATGGTTGTTGACTATATATTTCTTCCAAGTTTCAGTAGTATTCTCAACCGATGGCATTAGTGGATTATGTGAACAGTAAATTCCGCTGACAACATATCACATACCAAAATAAAACTGAATCAAGTACACTATTATGATATTCTATTTCTCTAGAGAAAAGAACCTCCCAATCAATTAGCACCTATGTGCATTCACTATAAACTGAAAAGACAAAAGAACAAGGAACCTGAAATCATACTTGAGATTACCAAGCCAACACTATAAAACAAGCGGTGTGCGATATGCTCGCCTACCGGACTTTTGTTTAAGTAAAAGACCAGTGATTAATCTATATAAATTGGACGATTACTTGGCTTCTGCTTGAGTATATACGCAGTGCTATAGTCCAACAGTAAAGTACTGCATCTATCAAATTCAGGGCATAAGAAGAATTTATTAGAGTTCACAAGTACCTGACAGTCACATGCCGACACATTTTCCTTTCCATTGCTCTTCTTAACCTGAGACATGAAATATCTAGATTTAGATTGAAACAGGGAAATCTGTATAGAAGAATAAAATATATAGTAATATTATAAGCTGTTTTGACCTATACATACCTTTCCTTTCTTGATACAAAGGCACTTCAAACATAGCAAGCTCAGTAGTTGCCTAAGTTCACTAACATGACAAGGATGATATACAGGTACAGGCAGCTCAATGTACCCAAAATGCCCTAGAAGGTCATATTGCCTTTATTAGTAACAAGAGAAAAGGGGATCCTGGAGTGCTAGAGGACAATGTTTTGGGGCATGAAAGAAAACTAATAAGATTTTCTTTTAGAACCTTCGCATTTGCCATTTTCAGAGGCACCACATGAGTTGCATTCTCCTGTTTCGAGTGGTAAGCCAAGGAAAGAATCCCTAAGCTGTTTTGGTTGAGTAACAGGACAGTCATTTGTAGAATACGTACGCTGCAGAACATTAAATTTTGCATATCAGTAATGTTCAAAAATGCAAATACTCCTTGCAAAAGTATAACAAATACGGTTATAAAAATCTTCACTGTGCAGAATATACCCATTAATTAAATGATTATACATGAAAAAAAATAAAAGATTAAACCATATGGATGGAGGAGCATGCAACATCAAGTACTAATTCAGTCCATGAAATCCACATTTATAGCTTAGCTAACTGAACAAGTGACAATGTCCCTGTATCAATGGTCCACGAAAGGAAATTAAAATGTCAGAACTCAATACTAATATATTATCTATAGCACATAGGCCCATAGGGTGCTCCCAGGGCCATTTATCTTGCAAATTTAAAGTTATTGCAACTGTTGAAATTATATACCAATCACATTGAATGATTTCAGATAATAATGAAACAGAAATAAGAATTTTCATCTAGACAGCATGCAGAAGCAGTTCTCTCAACTGTGCTCCCTTATTATGAGTAATGTGAGAGATCACATTGCCAATGTTTTTAATTCAGCATGCATATATCTCTACATGCCAGCATGAATAGTAAAATCAACAAGAAGAAGAACATACTATCTCATGCTCGCTGGATAGGCTAAGCTTAATGCTCTGGATGGCACCTTCAGGGACCGATGGGTCCTCCTCCATCACTCTGCAACAGAAGGGACAAACTAGCGTCACAGATTGATTTCTAAGAAATTAAAGTAGGACAACTGATTGATTTCTAAGGTCCTCCTCCAACCCTTTCGCTAATTCTTATCAGTGAAGAAATTAAAGTAGCTGGACAACTGATAGATTTGTAAGTACCCAAGATCAAGAAGCCCACTATGGTGGCCTCAAGCATGCATGTGGTGCGTACATGAGCGCTAGTTGGGACACATGCATCGCTCTGTACCTCACATGCATTTCCGCGTCCCAGGAGCGCCGCAGAAGAAACAACAAATTTCCCTAGAAAAACCGCAATTTCCTACAGAAGCAGAGACGCGAACCGCGCGCATGAAGCCATGAACAGACCAAAGCCCGCCCCCCAAAACCAGAAACCCCATTCCGAGCGACCCACCGGCTCGTCCCCCGCTCGCCGGAATCCGCACGAACAGACCGAAGCCCCGGGCACAGATTAATATTAATAAGAAAAACCCGCGCTTACTAGCTAGATGCTCCACCTCGCCGGCGCCGCCCGGTGGTCGTCTTCGCCGTGGCGCCTGACTTCCCTCCCAACCGGGCCTTAAGCCTAGCAGCAGCAGAGGAGTCGGAGAGAGAGAGGAGAAGGAGGGTTTTTAGCCAGTGCGCCTCGGAGAAGCCAAGGAGAAGGTACCAAGAGGATGCTCGCTCCGCTTTTATGGCGGTGGAGGTGAGGCGTTTGGTGTGCACACATTTCGAGTGCCGTTCTCAAAGCTAGCCAGTGGCATTTCACATGCTCTTTGTATTCCGAAATTACCTGGGAAGAAAGCACGCAGCGAATAAGAAATTCCTGATTAGTGGACTTGCCTGGGAAGTCTAAAAGTTTACCTAACATTTTCTTCAAAAATAAGTCTATGCATAATAATGGTATATATGTGTCCACTGGTGTAGGCTGTTAGATGTGTATAATCTTTTTTCTGTGTATCCCATTGTATAAGGGGTTTCTTTCACTTTACCACACATGTATATGTATAGGACTTTTGGCCCTCAGCGAAAGTTAATTGCTCATTATCCAACATGGTATCAGATGCTAGGTTAGCCTCTCTCCCACATGATGCAACTCTGTGCGTGCTCCATCCTCGCTGCCGCCGCTGCTAGGCTCCGTCCCTAGTCTCCGGCCGTCTGGTCCGCAGCCTCCGCTGCCCGACTCCTCTCGAGCCGGCCGCTCGCTTATCGTCCCCGTTGCAGCCTGCCGCCGGCCGTGCTCGGCCTTGTCGGGTCTGCAGCCCCCGGCCGCTTCCTCCCCGTTTGGCCACCACTCCGTTCCTGCCCCGTTCGGTCGCCGCCGCCCCTCCGACTCCGACAGGCCGCCCCCGCCTCCTGCCTCCCCGACCGGCTGCGATCGACCTGCCTAGTCGTCGCTTGCTTCCCAGCCTCAAGTGATTCCCTTCTCGATCTAGATCGAGTTCGGTGTCCGTTGACAAAAAAAAACGAAGCAGAAGAATAAGAGAGACTTCCTCATGTCTTCTTTCGGGCTATGTCGATGTCCCTCGGTGCTTGGTGATCTTTGATGGCACCAACTATGTTGAGTTTGCGGGTTTCATGCGTATTCATATGTGCGATCTTCTGCTGTGGGGCGTTCTCTCTCGCATAGGTCCCCTGTCCGCCATGCCCGGTTGCTCCTGATAACCCACAAGTATAGGGGATCGCAACAGCTTTCGAGGGTAGAGTATTCAACCCAAATTTATTGATTCGACACAAGGGGAGTCAAAGAATATTCTCAAGTATTAGCAGCTGAGTTGTCAATTCAACCACACCTGGAAACTTAGTATCTGCAGCAAAGTGTTTAGTAGCAAAGTAATATGATAGTGGTGGTAGCGGCAACAAAAGTAAAGACAACAAAAGTAATGTTTTTGTTATTTTGTAGTGATTGTAACAGTAGCAACGGGAAAGTAAATAAGCGTAAACCAGTATATGGAAAACTCGTAGGCACCGGATCAGTGATGGATAATTATGCCGGATGTGGTTCATCATGTAACAATCATAACATAGGGTGACACAGAATTAGCTCCAATTCATCAATGTAATGTAGGCATGTATTCCGTATATAGTCATACATGCTTATGGAAAAGAACTTGCATGACATCTTTTGTCCTATCCTCCCGTGGCAGCAGGGTCCTATTGGAAACTAAGGGATATTAAGGCCTCCTTTTAATAGAGAACCGGAACAAAGCATTAGCACATAGTGAATACATGAACTCCTCAAACTATGGTCATCACCGGGAGTGGTCCCGATTATTGTCACTTCGGGGTTGCCGGATCATAACACATAGTAGGTGACTATAGACTTGCAAGATAGGATCAAGAACTCACATATATTCATGAAAACATAATAGGTTCAGATCTGAAATCATGGCACTCGGGCCCTAGTGACAAGCATTAAGCATAGCAAAGTCATAGCAACATCAATCTCAGAACATAGTGGATACTAGGGATCAAACCCTTACAAAACTAACTCGATTACATGATAAATCTCATCCAACCCATCACCGTCCAGCAAGCCTATGATGGAATTACTCAAGCTCGGCGGTAAGCATCATGAAATTGGTGATGGAGGATGGTTGATGATGACGACGGCGACGAATCCCCCTCTCCGGAGCCCCGAACGGACTCTAGATTAGCCCTCCCGAGAGGTTTTAGGGCTTGGCGGCGGCTCCGTATCATAAAACGCGATGATTTCTTCTCTCTTCTTTTTTTCTCTCCGAAAGCAAATATATAGAGTTGGAGTTGGCGTCGGAGGGTTTCCATGGGGCCCACGAGGTAGGGGGCGCACCCTAGGGGGGGCGCCCCCCCACCCTCGTGAGAAGGGTGTGGGCCCCCTGGTCTTCATCTTTGGCGAGGATTTTTTATTGTTTTTTATAAGATGTTCCGTGGAGTTTCAGGTCATTCCAAGAATATTTGTTTTCTGAACATAAAACAACACCATGGCAATTCTGCTGAAAACAACGTTAGTCCGGGTTAGTTCCATTCAAATCATACAAGTTAGAGTCCAAAACAAGGGCAAAAGTTTTTGGAAAAGTAGATACGACGGAGACGTATCAACTCCCCCAAGCTTAAACCCTTGCTTGTCCTCAAGCAATTTAGTTGACAAACTGAAAGAAAGAAAGAAACACTTTTACAAACTCTGTTTGCTCTTGTTGTTGTTGTAACTATGTCAAGCCAGCATTCAAGTTTTCAGCATAGATTCTCAGGTCTCATAATTACTCATATCAATAACATAATCAACTAGCAAGCCATAATTATAAATCTCTGATGACAACACTTTCTCAAAACAATCATAATATGATATAACAAGACGGTATCTCGCTAGCCCTTTCTAAGACCGAAAACATAAATGCAAAGCACCTTTAAAGATCAAGGACTGACTAGACATTGTAATTCATGGTAAAAGAGATCCAATCATAGTCATACCCAGTATAAATTAATAGTAATGAATGCAAATGACGGTTGTGCTCTCCAGCTAGTGCTTTTTAATAAGAAGGTGATGACTCAACATAAAAGTAAATGGATAGGCCCTTCACAGAGGGAAGCAGGGATTTGTAGAGGTGCCAGAGCTCTGTTTTGCAATAGAGATAAATTGTATTTTGAGCGGTATACTTTCATTGTCAATGTTACAACTAAGAGATGGCGATATCTTCCATGCTAAACACATTATAGGCGGTTCCCAAACAGAATGGTAAAGTTTATACTCCCCCTCCACCAACAAGCATCAATCCATCGCTTGCTCGAAACAACGAGTGCCTCCAACATACATCAGGTCCCAGGGGGAGTTTTGTTTGCAATTGATTTTGATTTAGTTTGCATAAAGCATGGGACTGGGCATCCCGGTTACCAGCCACTTTCTCATGAGTGAGGAGCGGAGTCCACTCCTCTTGAGAATAACCCGCCTAACACGGAAGCTAAGGACAACCTTGGTTGATATATGAGCTATTCGAGCATACAAAACAGAATGTTTATTTGAAGGTTTAGAGTTTGGCACATACAAATTTACTTGGAACGGCAGGTAGATACCGCATATAGAAAGGTATAGTGGACTCATCTGGAATAACTTTGGGGTTTAAGGGATTAGATGCACAAGCAGTATTCCCGCTTAGTACAAGTGAAGGCTAGCAAAAGACTGGGAAGCGACCAACTAGAGAGCGACAACAGCCATGTACATGCATTAAAATTAATAAACATTGGATGCAAGCATGAGTAGGATATAATCTACCATGAACATAAATATCGTGAAGGCTATGTTGATTTTGTTTCAACTACATGCGTGAACATGTGCCAAGTCAAGTCACTTAAATCATTCAAAGGAGGATACCACCCAATCATACCACATCATAATCATCTCAATAGCATGTTGGCACACAAGGTAAACCATTATAACTCATAGCTAATCAAGTATGGCAGAAGCAACTATGATCTCTAATTGTCGTTGCAAACATGTTTATTCATAATAAGCTGAATCAAGAACGAGGGACTCATCATATTTACAAAAACAAAAGAGGTCGAGTTCATACCAACTTTTCTCATCTCAGTCAGCCCATCATATATCATCATAATTGCCTTTCACTTGCACGACCGAACGGTGCGAATAATAATAAGAGTGTACGTGCATTGGACTAAACTGGAATCTGCGAGCATTCAATAAACATGAGAAGACAAGGCAATATGGGCTCTTGGTTAAATCAACAATAATGCATATAAGAGCCACTTCAACAATTTAATTATGGTCTTCTCCTACTGACCCCAAAGAAAAGAAAAGAAATAAAACTATTTACACGGGAAAGCTCCCAACAAGCAAAAGAAGAACGAGGAATATTTTTGGGTTTTCTTTTTAATTATTACTACTACAACAGAAAAATAAACTACTACTAATCTTTTGGTTTTTCTTAAGGTTTAGCAAACACACAAGAAGAAAGCAGGAAAAAGAAAATAAACTAGCATGAATATTACAGTGAAAAAGTATGAGCACCGAC